TTACTGTTACTACTACTACTACTACTACTACTACTACTACTACTACTACTACTACTACTACTACTACTACTACTACTACTACTACTACTACCATTACTACTACTACTACTACGACTACTGCTACTACGATTACTACTACTACTACTACCACGATTAGTATTCTATTGAGCGGACTTGGACGACGACGAGCACTCCAAGCTGCTGGGCGAACGCTCTTAGCTGCTGGACGACGGCGAACGCTCCGAACCCTTCAAAATGGCAGTGCTCAGAGGCTACCGAGCGCGCTCAGGCGTTAGGCCAGCCGCCCCCGCACCCGCCACCACCATGCGCTAGCCAGGGGCCACCGTTGCAGCACCAGCGACCACAACCATGATTACCAAGACCACCAACACGACGACCATCACGACCGCCCTGCGACGAGACACGGCCACCTTTACGACCACCGTCCCAGCGATGCGCCGATTGCCACGACCACCGCGACCACCACGACCGCCACCACCACCTGCGCGACAACCACTACGACCACTACGACGGGACACGGCCGCCTTTCTAACGGCCACGACCACCATCAACACGACCGGCACCACGATGACACGACGACCGCCCCCCGTCGCCCCATGGCCTTCCTTCCTTCCCGCCTCTCTTTTCCTCTTACCCGGCCGCCCCTGCATGCAGCTTTCGCCTCCTCGCCTCACGAGTTCATTGAACCCGAGGGTCCTCCATGCTTCCGCACATGTGTATGCTCCACGATGTGCGCAAGAAATGCCATTGGGCCAGACCTCAGGCCCGAGGCCGTAAACCCAATGCAGGGGTGTCCCCTTGTGTGACGGGGGTGGGGGCCCATTCGGGTGCCCTTAGGCCGATGGGGGAGGAAGGAGAAGGAAGGAGGGAGGATGAGGGAAGAGGATGAGGAGGAGGAGGCGGAGGAGGAGGAGGAAATGGGAGAAGGGATGATGATGATGAGGATGATGATGAGGATGAGGATGAGGATGGGGATGACGATGACGATGACGATGATGATGATGATGATGATGATGATGATGATGATGATGATGATGATGATGATGATGATGATGATGATGATGATGATGATGATGATGATGTTATGATGATGACGATGATGATGACGATGGGGATGAGGAGGAGGAAGAGGAGGTCGAGGAGGAGGAGGATAGCGAGGAGAAGGAAAAGGAGGAGGAGGCAGAGGAGGAGATTCAGGAGGAGGATGATGAAGAGGGGAAACAAACATAACATCACAATAGCAAGAAAACCAATACTACTAAGAGGAGGACAAGGAAGAACGGGGAAGGAGGAGGAGGAGGGATGCTCGGAGTGCTGTTGTGGCGTTGTGGCCAAGCCGCACAGGTCGAGCAGAGAGTCTCCAAGGGCCTGGACTCCCTCAAAGGACAGCCGTTTGACTGTACGACTTGCGTGGGAGCAGAGTGCTGGTCGTCGCCCATGCTCCTCGGTCTCGTCATCCTTCTCATCCCCCTCCCCCTCCTCCTGCTCCTGCTCCTCCTCCCCCTCTAGTTCCTCCTCTTCCTAACTTTCGCCTGCGCCCTCGTTTCGCTCCTCCTGTGCCTTCCTCCTCTCCCTGCTTGTCGTAATCGTCCTCCTCTTCCCTTGTGATGTTGTCGGCGAGTTGGATGCTAGTCGGTTGCGTCTGTCGCGTCTGACTTGGTGGGCTGCGAAGTTTGAGTCAACGAACAGCGTGAACGCAGCAGACCGTGCAAGTGCTGGTTCCGTGGTTGTTCACGACCCTGGTCTGGGTCCAGGCTTTATAATACTACACACCACCTTCTGAATTCTGGGACCTGGTCCCGAGATTATGTTGTCCGTCATCCTCCTCTTCCTCCCTCGACTTCATTTATGTGTTTTGTTAGGTCTGGCCCATTCCGTTTTCACAGTGAATATTGCTGGCCACAGAGGGTTTTGCGCAGCGAGATCGATGCACGCGTTAAGCGTGCGCTCGTAGAGCGAGCTTCGTAAATTGCCTAGTTCGTTACCCATGGTTGTCAAGCTCATGTGTGTGTCGTTGGTCAGGTTGTTACGCTGTTTTCTCCTCGGAAAAAAGAGAAAGTGGAAGTGCAGCTTCTCCTCCTCGTCCTGCTGTTGATGCTGCTGCTGCTGCTGCTCCTGCTCCTCCTCCTCCTCCTCCTGATCCTCCTCCTCGTCCTCCTCCTCCTCCTCCGCCTCCTTCTCCTCCTCCTCCTCCTCCTCATCCCTCTCCTCCTCTTCCTCCTCCTCTTCCTCGTCCTCCTCCTCCTCCTCCTCCTCCTCCTCCTCCTCCTCCTCCTCCTCCTCCTCCTCCCCCTTGCGGCGGGCGCGGGTCTGTTGTGCCCGGTGCTCTGTGATCGGGGAACCCGCAAACGCCCCCGCTGCCTCTCAAGAGGGGCAGCCTCCCTGGAGTGGCACGCTGTCTAGGACAGCAGCCGCTCCCCGGTGGGGGGGGGGTCTGCCGGGAGGCCTCCTCTCCATGTATGGTAGTTTCGTGACGTGTCGACCAGCGGCGACCCCGCCGCCAGCGTTCAACGTTGAACGCCGCATGCGACCCAGAGTCGGTCGATGTTGAACGCGCTGACGGTTCGAAAACGGCCGATCGCTTGCTCAGAGTTGAACGATCCACGCCGTGTCAGGAACCAACGCTGGGGTCGTCACGACACGAACCCGCCGTACCACGGTTGGGAGGCCGCCTGGGCGCCAAGGTCAGGCACGCAGGCGGCGACGCGAGTGCGCGAGGCGTGGTCAACGGCGACCGTCTCCTCCTCCTCCTCCTCCTCCTCCTCCTCCACCCCCTGCCTTCCATGCCGAGTTTGGCGGTTGAGGATGTTGAGGATGCCAGTATGACCATGGTGATGAGGAGGACCAGGGCAAACCCGGCACTCATCAGTCAGTGGTCCTGTCTTGCACCCTTCCCGCACCCAGTCCCCTACAGGAGGGAGGAGGAGGGAGTAATGATGAGGAGGGGAGTAGAAAGGTGGAGGAGGGATGAGAGTGAGGGAAGATGAGGCAGGAGGGAGGCAGGGGAAAGGGCGACCAGGATGGAGGGAGAGAGGAAGGGGGAGAAGGAGGAGGGTGGATAATAATAATAATAATATTATTATCACTAATAATAATAATGATATTAATAGTATTATTAAATTATATTCATAATATTATTATTAATAATACTATTACTAATAAAAGTAATAAGTAGCTGTAATACATATAATACGTATAATAAATGTGATAAATATAATAATAGTAGGCGGGAACTATTGAGGCGAATGGAGGAGATGGCAGCGCAGGATGTCAAGATGGGGGATGGAGGAGACATCATGAGCGCGTGGAAAGGAGAGCGTTGAAAGAGTAACGGGAGAGGATGGATGAGGAAGGAGGAGGCGTTGGCGGAGGCGGTTGGGGGAGCAGTAGTAGGAAACGGCTGTGGGGCAGAAGGGAGAGGGGCACGCGGCGGGGGGGGAGCAAGGGGGCAGGGGGAGGAGGGAAGGAGTAAGCAGGCAACATCAGGAGGAGGGCGGTGGGAGGTTTTGCCCCCTCCACACGATTGGCCGCCTCCAGCGGAGCAGTCCGCCGCCGCGCTGCAGCTGCAGGAGGCCGACCAGCGGGCGTTGGGCTTAGAAGGGCGCCCTGGCTGTCGCTGGTGTCGACGTCATCCTCGGATGTCTTCCAAGAGTCTCTCTTCTTATCGGAACTCTCCAGAGGCTTTCTGGAGGCCCTCGCTCTTCCTCTTCCTCCCTCCTCCGCCCCGAGAGGCTCAGAGGATAATCTGGAAAACATGTCGCTGCCCTCGGCTTGGCCACAACCTTGTGCAGAGCCTTTCGATGCTTTCTGAAAAGACGCTTGCCACATCACTGGGTTCTCTCTCCTTGGCCACTGCGTGGCGGGGATAGCCATGCGGCAGCCTGGTGGTTCACCCAGCAAGGAGCGCCGTTCGCTATGCCAGTTTCTTGATGCTTGGTGTCCAGGCCTGCCGGGGCCAGCTCTAGCCTGAGGAGCCCTACTCCTCCAATTTGAGCCCCGTGGAGCTCCATTTCAGAGCCCAGCAGGCCCGGAAACGCAGGCATCTGGCGCTTGATCTCCGCGGAGCGAAATCCATACGCAGTCTGGTGTTATGAGGCAGAGGATTTGGATATGTGTTGCAGTGCTCCCTGCCGCTTGCAGAGCTCCTTGCGGCCCGCTTGTGTGGGGTTCTTCGGGGACGAGCGCTCACGGTGCAGCTTGATCGCATCTGCGAGGCCGTTGGCCAGACCATGATCGATAATCTTCACGCCATCCGTGCAGCAAGCGCGCTTTGAACACCCGTCGTATCCTTGCTTGGGCCGTGCGCATGTGGGCTCATTCCCAATGGCTCGTCATGACCCGTTCTCACGAGTCGCGCGCGGTCGGGCCAGCCTCCTCTTTCCCCTTTCCCTCTGCCCTTCCCGCTCCGCGTCCCCCTCCTCCCCGCCGCTCTCTCCCTCTCTCTTCCCCCCTCCCCTCCCCCCTCTCGTGCTGGCTCGATGGGGGGCGCTACTCTCCCCCAGATAGATGTCATACAGTCGGGGCCCTGAAGAAGGAACCCTTTTGTTGGGGAGGGGCTCCGTGCTCCTTAGTTGTTTTACAGTGCTCCTTGGGTTTTCCTGAGGTTTTTCATGGAAAGTCGGAGTTTACTATATGGGAAAAAGGGGCCTCGTTCCTTATTTATCGTTCCTTAGGTCAACGCCTCGACTGTGCAGATTTGCTAAGAAGGGTAACGCCTACAGGTACCGACCGTTCACCGAAGCTTCGCGAGCAGAGAATGCACGCACGGTAGCCTCAGTACGGGGCCTCGCCGTGCATGCGCGCCGAGAGCGAGCGAGCCGGAGCAGACACGGCGAGATGCGCGGGCCCACATTAGGAGCACGGGGGCCCCGCGCCAGCGGCTCGACGGGTCGCGACCGTCTCGGGGCTACATTTTCAGGTCCCTTTCATGCCTTCTTCATCAGTGTAAGCCATTCGGGGTATGCATCGCTGAATGGAAGAGAAACAGCAGTGCATGATTTCACACACACATGGGAGCCACCTCAGCGCGATTCCATGGACCTGGGAGTTGCAGGTTGGACCTGAAAATCATCCGCCGGTGCGCACAGGGAAAGCCCGATGGGGTCAACCTTAAAGAAGTGTTCTCGTCGGACACCGGCACCAGGCTATGCCAGTCCAGAACAAGCCCTACCGTCGCCGTCAGGGAGGTGACTGGTCCGAAACCGCGAGAACTCTTATAGACGCGATGCATGTCGGCGGTCACGCGACCAATTTCATCGCCACTTCGTCGGTGCGTTTTTCTCTGCGCTAGGGCCCGACGAGCTATTGTTCCTCCAGTTCTCCGCTCACCTCCAGGGCCACTACCGTCTGGCGCATGGAACACGCCGCGCTTCAGGGACCTTGTGAGCTCCCCCTGGTGCTCAGCTCCACCCTGACCATGACGAGCACATGCCTTACCATGCTGCACATCTACCTGGCATTTGCGAGCGCCAGGAACCTTGCGAGCTTGACGTGCGCTGTGTGCCGCATGTGAATTGCAAACTTCGCGTGCACGGTGCTCAGTCTGTTCTGCACACGGTGACCCACTGTCCGTCCATGCCGATCACCTTGCACCTAGTGTGACCTAGTGTGCTGCTACCAGTCTCTTCTGATCTCCTTTCTCGCTGCGCTGCCGTGTTGCGATTGTTGCCGCCACTTGCTGTGTCGCGGCAAACGCCGCAGCCTGCTGTGCGGCGGCCATCACCACAGCCCACGGTCGTTCCCCACGGCGGTTGGGACTATCCCCTCTTGGGTGGGCATGCTCGGACTCTTCACACAAAGACCCCGCTGGCACCGCTGTTGCCTACGAAGGGGCTGGCCACGCTGTTTCCTGCCCCCTGCGGCAGCACCGCGAGTCTCTTGCGAACTGGCTCCGGGCTCATCGAGGCCTCCCACCTGCCTCCTGCACAGCAGTCCAAGTGAAAGTTTGATGCGTGGAGGCCATTCGTGCGTTGTCTCTTCAGTCTGGAAGGATCCCCCTCCTCCCTCCTCCATCCTCGGTTATGTCCTCTCCCTCTCCTTGTTCCCTTCACCTGTTCTCGCCCTCTCTTCATCATCCCTCCTCACCTTCCTCGCCACCTCCCGCCCGCCGTGCGCGCCTCCCCAGCATGCCTCCATCCTTCCATGTCTTCTCTTCTTTACCACCGCGATGACCCACTGGAGAAAACTGCCCAGGTAGAGCAGAGGGTCTTCGAGGACCTGGGCTCCCTCAAAGGACAGCCATTTGATGATACGACGATCCTGGGCGCAGATGGCTTATCGCTGATCGTCCATCGTCCCACAGCCGCGGCGCGCCTTAATGTATCCAGCCCGTCAGGCCGCGGAGCGCTCGGGGCATTGTGGCGCCAGGCTACATCGGCGAACAGTCGGGAAGGGAATGCGAATGCCGACCCCTTCATTCCTTTTCTTTGCTGTCGTGGCCAGCGTGGTGAACGATGATGCTGATGGTGGTGGTGGTGATGATGATGTTGCTGATGCTGATGCTGATGATGATGATGATGATGATGATGATGATGAATGATGATGATGATGATGATGATGAGTCTGATGATGGTTTGATGATGATGGCGGTGATGCTGATGATGGTCATGATGATGGTGACGATGATGATGAGGATGATGACGATGATGATGACGATGATGATGATGATGATGATGATGATGATGATGATGATGATGACGATGATGATGATGATGCTGATGATGATGATGATGCTGATGATGATGCTGCTGCTGCTGATGATGATGATGATGAAGATGATGAGGAGTAGGAAGAGGAGGAGGAGGAGGAGGCGGAGGAGGGAGGATGTGGGGGAGGGGGATGGGTCCCTCCCCACGCCCTCCCCCTGCTGCAGCCTCCTGCTCCTGTTCCTTCCTGCTCATCGCCATGACGCCCCCGCCCCCCTCCTACCTCCACACCTCCGTGCTCCTCCCACCGCCTCTCCCCTCCGCCCCTCGTACTCTTTTTCCTCATCCTCTTCTTGTTGGTTTATATTCTGTGTTTTCTATAGTGGGCATCGTGATCGGGCTACTGCTACAGTGTGGCGAATCCTCCTCCGCCACCTTGTCGTCCCTCTCCTCTTCCTGCTCCTCCTTCTCCTCCGCCCCCATGCCTTCCTCCTCCTCCTCCTTCCTCCGTCTCCCTTCGTGCCTCTTACTTCCTGCTCGGTCATTTCTAGTCCCTCCCACTGCTCGTCTATCGTGATCCTGCATCGTCCCGCCTCGTGACAGGTCCGCCTCCTCCTCCTCATCATCATCATTATCACCAACACCATCGTCATCATCATCAGCAGCATCACCATCATCCCATCACCATCATCAACATCATCATCGCCAGCACCAGCATCCACACGTGCATCAGCATCACCACCACCATCATCACCATCACCATCATCATCAACAGCAGCATCATCATCTTCATCTCCACCTTCATTTTGATCTGCAGCTTCATCTTCATCTCCATCTTCACCATCCATCATCATCAACCTCAACGGCATCGTTGTAGTCATAGTCGTCACCATCATCACCATCATCATCATCATCATCATCATCATCATCATCATCATCATCATCATCATCATCATCATCATCATCATCATCATCATCATCATCATTATCAACATCGTCATCACCGCCATCACCATCAGCATCAGCATCATGATCAACATCATCATCACTATCGTCGTCGTAGTCGTCGTCCTTGCCATCATCACCACCACCACCACCATCATCATCATCATCATCATCATCATCATCATCATCATCATCATCATCATCATCATCATCATCATCATCATCATCATCATCATCATCATCATCAGGGGGTCTCTTCCAGGCCATCTTGGAGGGCCTGGGGGGGTCTGGGGGCGATGTTTTGGAGGGTTCTCCCACGGGGGAGGTCTGAAATGGCTTGTCTTGGAGGGCCCAGGCCCCCCCCTTTTATTACGAGATCTGGAGTACTCCCCAGACCTCCCCTGAGCTGCCGCCTGACCAGCAGTCCCAGGGGAGCCCAGCGGCGGCGGCGAAGGGCTCCCGGGAGGCCCAAGACGGGGACAAAAACGGGCGCGAGAGGCAGCAGCACGGGCACGGGGCCCCGAGGCCCAGGGCCTCGCCCCGTCGCGTGCCCCTTCCAAACCGGCGCTCCCAGCGGAGCAGTCCGCCGCCGCGCTGCACCTGCAGGAGTTCGAGCAGCGGGCACCTGGCCCTAGCAGGGCGCCCCGGCGGACTCGGCGACTACAACGGGCATGGTTACGCCGGGGTGTGGTTTGCGATTGGTGCAGCTGGGCCCGGGGAGCACGACACTGTCCTCGCTGGGCCCCCTCGGGGCGCGGCGGAGAGCTCCGTCGAGGGCCCCGCCCGCCCCCCGGGGTGCCCCCCAGGGCGCGGGTTGCAAACCACACCCCTTGCGCAAACCACGCCCTTCGGGGTCGCCGACAGACGTCGTCGTGGTCGGACGTTCGAGTTGGACGACGAGGGCGAGGGATTTTGTTTCGCGGGTTTGGCGTCTGGGGGCGGGGTTCCGGGACCATCAGCAACGGCCCGCGACGAATTTGTCGTCCTGGGGCTTGAGTCGACGGATACGGGGGCCACGTCGTGAAGAGAAAGCGGCAGAGGTCTGGGCTCGTCGCTGCCCCCGGCTCTGCCACAATTTGGCGGGCAGAGCTTTGCGATACTTTTCAACGTTGCTGATCCTCTACCACCCACCAAACCACCCCAACCCAACCCGAAGGCCCCAATCTGCCCTCCATTCGCAGTGCGGGGTGTGTGTCGGGGAACATTGGAAAACCACATACGAAGCCCGTACCCCCCCCACCCCGAAATTGAGGTCTTCGGGTTGGGTTGGGGTGGTCTGCTAGGTAGTCGATCCTTCTCCCCCTATCCACTCGGCCACTGTCCAGAGGGAGGCTGGCCAGGCGACACTGGCCTCCGCCCCCGGGAGACAGAGCGGTGAGCGGCACCGCCCTGAGGCGCCGGCCCCGTGTTTTCCCGCATCCTTCGGGGGGACCGCTCGGCGTTCCGCAGCTTCATGTGGCCCATTCCAGAAGCCCTGAACCCAAAACTGTTGTCATCTCTTGGAGGTGTTTTTTTTTGTTGTCGCTTCCGCCGCCTTCCGCCAGCCTCCCGCCGGCTTCTGCCGGCAGAGGCGGCCTCGTTTCACTTCCGCCGACCTTCCGCCGCTCTTCCGCCGCCTTCCGCAAGGAATCCCTGCTCCGGAAGCTTCCGAAACGCGGCGCTCCAGTAGCCAGCGAGCGTGTAGCTCAAATTTGGTGATGTGGCCAAATCAGCGCAGTTGCAGTTCGTTGCCCGAAACAGTGCTCTTCACCCCCCGGGTCGCGTTTCAGGGTTCCTTTGCTGTTGCGTCTTCGTCCGAAAAGGCCTTGATGCCTCCACAGACAAGTTGCAGTTTGCTGCGCACTCCCGTCCGTCAGGGCTCCACCTTCTGCCGCCGGCCCCCTTTTCTGTCATAGTGGGCGGTGCCAGGGCTATGCTGGGACGTGTCGGCGCTGTTTCGAAAATCGGGGCGACCGAAATGGATACGGAATGGGTACAATGCCCAACAGCAGTTCCTGTTCATTCTGAACAGGACTCGCTGTTCGCGCCGCCGCGGACGCTGTTCTTTGAAGGCAAAAAGCCGCCTGCCCAACAGCGGCCGCTACCGGTTTAGGATAAGATTTGTTGTTGGGCGTTGTGCCACTGTTTTCCGTACCCATTTCAGGCGTCCCCCCATCGAACACTTGGGAACATAATGCGAGAACAATTGGTATTCAGCAGGCACACTGAGAGGTTGGAGTTGTTGTTGAATGTTGCGATTCCTTCTCAGAGCGCGAAGCCGGCGTAATGTACGAGAGAATCTGGCTTCGGGAGCGCGAACCTGGCGTAATTTACAACGGATTCTGGCTTCGGGAGCGCGAATCTGGTGTAAGTTACAACGGGTTCTGGCCTTGGGAGCGCGACTGTGGCGCAATCTACAATCGACGCTGGCTTGGGAGCGCGAATTCGGCGTAGCTTGCAAGGGGTTCTGGTTTCGGGAGAGGGAGTCCGGCGTAAGTTGCACAGGATTCTGGTCCAGGGAGCGCGAGCCTGGCGTCACTTGCACATGGTTCTGGCCTCGGGAGCGCAATTCTGGGGCAGTTAACAACGGATTCTGGGCTCGGGGGCGCGCACCTGGTGTAATTCTCGAGGGGTGATTTCCTGTGGGCGCGAATCTCACAGATTTTTTCGTGCCCCAGGGCCCCCACAGATTGAACACACGCCATTCGGGTGTGATGGCCAGGGCGGTTTTCAGTCCCCCCCCTCGCGCGGATAGCAACAGTTTACATCAGGAAACAGAAAGAAGTATCATAGCACTGGAAAGTGGAAACTGAAACATGCGCAGGGTGCAGGAAAGTTCGGCCGCACAGCCTAGTGGTCCCACAAGGAGGCCAGCGGTTTCCCGATTCGATGCCACACTCCGTTGCCTTGTAGGAAGTCCATGCTGTGAGCTAGCATGCTACACGAAAGCCACCCAGCGCAGCATCCATTCAAGCAGCCACCTAAGCGACTGACCGCATGGCTGGCTGACACACCCAGTAATTTGGCACGTGCGAAACGAACCTGCCCATCAACCCGTTGATCTTGCTCTCGTCATCCTGGGCCCCCGCCCCTGCCCCTGCCCCTGCTCCTGCCTGTGCTCCCTCGCCCGTGCTCTCGTTCTCTCCTCTCCGGGGCGAGCCGCGGTGTCGTTGACCGGCGCTTTCGAGGTCTTGGCGGACGTGAGGAGCTCGCTCCGCGAGCAGGACGAGAGCAGGGCGTCCCGCCTGGACGGGCTGGGCGAGCGGGCGGCCAAGGAGTGCCCTTGTCGGGGGGCGGGCCTAGCGTGCCAGATGCGATGCCAGTCTTCGGGAGGCCGCTGGGCCTCAGGATGCCCGTGGATGGCTCTGGCCCTGGCGCGCGCGGGGCAGAACTAGGAAGCGGCGATAGTTTACCAAGGACGGCGCAGCGAGCGAGCGAGCGTCGTGTGTGTGTGTGTGTGTGTGTGTGCGTGTGTGCCCGTCCACGGCTCCTCCCTGTCACCCTGGTTGGTCTTGGTCTTCTTGTCGCTCTACCCTGCTTACTCGCCCCCCCCACCTTCCAGTACCTACGGGTTGGCTTCTGGCACCTTCCACCTCACCGTAGCCTCGCCTTTCCACCGATCACCCGCCATAACTCCTGGATGGTTATGGCTGCCGGCTGCCGGACACCAATTGTTCTTTGAGGGCTCGGGCGAGCGTAGACGCGCGCGCGGTTGCCGCTTTTCGACCTGCGCCCTGGAGGCCGTTTCTTTATTGCTTGGGGCATGACGGGCGTCATGGCCCCCGCTCCCCCCCCCCCCTATGACGTAACGCTCCCCCCCTCCCAGTGCGCTCTGGCCACTGCCGCCGTGCGTTTTGGGATCTGCGTAGGTGTCCGCGTAGGAACCCGCATAGGAGTCCGGTCTGCAGTCGTCGTCGTCGTCGTCGTCGTCGTCGTCGTCGTCGTCGTCGTCGTCGTCGTCGTCGTCGTCGTCGCTCGTCGCTCATACTCGTCGTGTGCGCGGGCGCGGCTGAAACCTGTTTTTTTTCGGGCCGATGACGGCAATCATCTAGGGGGGTGGGTGGAAGGGGTCGATGTCGTCACGTTTCGCGCTGGCGGCGTCAGGGAATGCTTAGGAATGACGGAGGACGGGTAGCGCCAGCATGTACGTGGCGATTTGCACCACAACGCCTGTGTACACCACAGTGCCCGCGTGCACCACAGCGCCTGTGTACACCACGCCGCCTATGTACACCACGGCAGCCGCGTGCAACACAGCGTCAGTTTGTGCCACCGTGCCTGCGGGCACAACAGCTCTTGTGCACACCACAGCGCTTGCGTACAACACGTCAGCCGTTTGCAACACAGCACCAGTGTACACCACAATGCCTGCGTGCATTGCAGTGCCTGTGTGCCCGCGGCGCCTGTGTGCACCACAGCAACCGTGTGCAACACAGCACCACTGTTGTATATAGATTTTAACACATGCTCATGACAAAATGGAGCGCTTGTGGATTCCACAGAAAACGATAGAACACGATCTTGATGGACAACGGAGCGCCGCTGGAATCTACAAGTTCCCCCGAGTCCGCCCGCATCACCCTAACTCATTTCATCTTCGTCCAGGAGGCTCCAGCTAAATTGGCCGTCCGAGAACCAAGTGGACCGATTCAATAGACCACTTTGCGGTGCGCGCTGAGATGCGCACGTGCGCTGTGGCGCCAACCCGCACGACAGGGGTAAGGAGGAGGATGATGAGGATGATGAGGAGGATGATGATGATGAGGAGGAGGAGGAGGAGGAGGAGGAGGAGGAGGAGGAGGAGGAGGAGGTGGTGGAGGTTGAGGAGGAGGGAGGAGGGAATAACGTCGCATGCGATTATCAGCACTTTCCTGGCGTGGCGTCTAGTTGTCTGCAGCAGATTATCACGTTCATGCTCCTTCTACTTGCCCTATGCACGCAGGCAGTGCGGTGTACGCCAGCGCTGCGTTGCACGCGGATGCTGTGGTGTAGACAAGCGCTGTGGCGTGCACAAGCGCTGCAGTGCACGCAAGCACTGTGGTGTACACAGGCGCTGTGTTGCACATGGTAGCTGCGGTGTACACATGTACACCGGCGCTGTCGTGTACGCAAGCACTGTGGTGTACACATGCGCTGCGTTGTACACGGTCGTTGCGGTGTACGCAGGCGCTGTGGTATACACTCGCGCTGTGGTGCACGCGAGCGTTGTGGTGTACACAGGCGCAGTGGGGCATATCGCCACCTACATGCTGCTCGCGTCGTCGTCGTCGTCGTCGTCGCTCGTCGCTCGTCGCTCGTCGCGTCGCGCGCGCTGGCGCGGGTGCGGTGCCGGAGCCACACGGCGCGGGGGGCGTTACGTCATACCCCCCGCTCGCCCCCCTCCCCCATGACGCCCGTCATCGCCGAACATAAAGAAACGCGCTCCTGTCGTTGCGTGCAGAGACGCGACGTCAAAAGTGTGTGTGTGTGTGCGTGTGTAAGCGTGTGTGTGTGTGTGTGAGAGAGGTAACAGCAGGCGGTCCAGTTTGCATTTGGTCACAAGCGCGACGCATCACGACGGTGCCATCGGTCTCGGTGGGGGGGCCGTGTGACGTTTCCCCATTGGCCACCTTCCAGGTCAGACGTCAGGACCATTCGGGGGCCAAGCTGGGGGCAAATTCACGAGCGGAAACCTTGCCACCGCTCCGGTGGGCGCCGCCAGGTAAAGAAACATCACTTACGGAACAAAAGGGGGGAGACACGAGGGAGTTGGGCCCATGTCTAGGGTGGACCAGAGGGCCCGATCAGCTCACCCCGTAATCTTCGCCCTGGCAGGGACGGTGAAGACAACAGGTCGTGGGCGAGTTGCGGCCCGTACCCAAGATGAAGGGGCTGAGAGCGGTAGCCAGAGAGGCACGAAGGAGGACATTGCTAGCAGGTCACAGCGAGGGGTGGATGCTCGTCGTTTCGCGAAAGGCGACCAGGACGAGGGTCTCTTCACCACCCGCCCTATGCCACTCCACCCCATTCAGCCACCCGAGACAAGGATGCCAGTCCGAACCTTCCCCCAGTGACCACCAGGAGGAGGCAAACGGAGCCGGCGCCGAGGAGGAGGAGGAAGAAGAGGAGGAAGCTTACTGGGTGCACGCGGCGGGTGCACTGCTAGTCCATCTAGGATCCACTTCGCTACACCACGAACATTTGACTCACAGTGAGGTCAATACTCGTGGTGTTGCTAGTGACACTAGCAACGCCGTGCCGAAGAAATGCATCCGCACGTTTGTCTGCCATCATCGCATGAAACCAGCAACGAAGCCCACGACCATGGCCAATGAGCGTCAAGGACATCCTGTTCGACGCATCACCCGCGCAACGGGGCGTAATATTCAGAGCGGCCGATTCACACGCTCCATGCACACGGGGCCAGAGCCCACTGCAACAGAGCACGGCTTCCAAGGCCGGGCCACGTCCACTCGGCGCGTAGCGCGCACCTGCGAGGACACGCTGGCACGCTCGACGTGAACGCGAATTGGCCTGGCGTCACCCGAAGAAGCATGCCCTCACGCGGCAGGAGATGGCGCTTCATCCCACAAGCAGCCCTGAGGTGACCAGGGGGAAGGGAGGGGGGAGGGAGGGAGTAGGATGAGGAGGGGAGGAGGAGGCTGTGGAGGAGGAGAGGCGGAGGGGGAGTAATAGGAGGAGAGAGGGAGTGCGGATGATGAGGTTGGGGAGGGAGGGAGGGAGGGAGGGACGCGTACGGGCGACCACAGCCACATACCAGACAGGGGGTGGGGACACGGTCGACCAGGGGGACGAGTACAGTCGACCACGAAGGACTACCGGTATCCAACCTGATATTCCTCCTCTCTCCTCGCTCCTTCTCCTTATCCTCTTCGATCTCGTGCTCCTCATCATCATCCGCCTCCTCCTCATCATTTCCAACCCTCCTCTTGCTTCCATTGCCCTCATCATTGTGATCTCCTTCTGCAGATTTCGGGATTCCTGGTCTCCTGGGCTGCGGGCTCCAGGGCCCCTCGAAATTCCAAACATAAATATCAGACAACAATTCCAATCAGGTAGAACATGGAATTCTGGGAGATCCGAAGTTTTCGGGGTTCCTGGTCGCTTGGGCTGTGGACTCAAGGGCCCCTGGCAATGTTTTCTTTTGAAAAATAGAGTTCCAAGAGCTACAACAGCTTGAGTTTTTGTCAAACAATTGAAATTTGAAATGTTGGGGGGTCTGGAGTTTTCGGGATTCCTGGTCGCTTGGGCGGCGGACTCCTTAGGACCCCTGGATTTTTACAATTCTCCTGAAGTTTTCAGTTCTCAAACATGTCAAACAGGTTGTAATTTTTCAATTCCATGTTTCACAGACATTTTGTAGTTCTGGGGGTCCGTAGTCTTCGGGATTGCCAGTCGCTTGGGCTGCGGACTCCAGGGACCCCGGAAAATTCACAGTCTTCAAAAGTTTGAGGTTAAGAACCAGTGTAGATTTTGTCGTTGCATTTGTGAAGTTATGGGAGGTTCGGAGTTTGGGGGATTCCTGGTCGCTTGGGCTGCAGGACCCTTCCACCTCATCCAATCTTCCTCCTCTCGCCTACGGTATCCGGTTTCATTATTCTCCCACGCATTCCTCTTCTTCCTCCTCCAGCACTCAGGAGGAGGAGGAGGAGGAGGAGGAGGAGGAGGAGGAGGATAAGGAGGAGGAGGAGGAGGAAGCGGAGGTAGGAGGGGCACGAGGGATGGGGGAGGAGGGGGTTGGCGCGGAGGAGGGAGAGGAGGACGAGGACGAGGACGAGGAGGAGGGGAAGGCGGAACCCGGATGGATGCGAGGAGGAGAGGACGCGCGGGAGGACGATGATGATGGTCATGATGATGATGCTGATGATGATGCTGATGATGATGATGACGATGATGTTGATGATGGCGAAGAAGAGATGGTGGTGATGATGATGATGATGATGATGAAAATGATGCTGCTGATGTTGATGATGATTATGCTGCTGATGTTGCTGCTGCTGATGATGATGCTGATGATGCTGATGATGCTGATGATGTTGAGGATGATTTGGATGGTGGTAATGATGACGATGATTACGGCTTTGCCGATGGCGACGATGTCGACGACGGCGGCGGCGACGACGACGACGCTGACGACCACGGCGATGATGATAATGATGATGAGGATGATGATGCTGATGATGGTGATGCTGATGACGATGATGATGAGGAGGAAGCGGGGAATAAGGAGGATGCTGCTGATGATGGTGAAGGCGACGATGATGATGCTGGTGCTGTGGGGGATGATGGTGACGACGATGACGATGACGATGACGATGATGAATCTAATAATGATGATGATGATGATGATGATGATGATGATGATGATGATGATGATGATGATGATGATGATGATGATGATGATGATGATGGTGATGGTGATGATGGTGGTGGTGGCGGTGGCGGTGGAGGGAGTGGTGACGATGACGTTGGTGACCTTGTTGTCATGGTGCATCTGATTATGCTTATGCGTCGTTCTTGATGGTGATGATGATGATGATGAATGCGATGACGACGATGGTAGAGATGCGGATGCTGATAATGATGACGATGATAATGATGCTGATGGTGAGAATGAAGTCGGCGACGATGATGCCGATTATGGTGATACAGATTATAGGGATGACCATAACGATGACGATGACGATGCCGAGGATGATAATGCTGCTCATGATGATACTGATGTTGAAGATGATGATGCTGATGATGATGATGATGATGATGATGATGAGGCTGAATGTGATGACGATGCTGACGAAATGACAATGATGAGGATGACTCTGACGATGATGCTGATGAAGGTGATGCTGGCGATGATCTCGATGATGCTGATGATGCTGAGGCTGATGCAGATGACGATGATGATGGTGAAGAAGAGATGGTGGTGATGCTGATGACAATGATGATGTTGCTGCTAATGTTGATGATGATTATGCTGCTGATATTGCTACTGCTGGTGACGATGCTGATGATGACGACTGTGATTATGAGGATGCTGATGGTGGTGATGGTGATGCTGCTGCTGCTGATGATGATGATGCTGCTGATGCTGCTGATGAGTATGAAGACTGATGATGCTGTTGACGATGCTGATGATGCTGGTGATGGTGATCAGGATGGTGGTGATGATGATGGTGTTGTCGAGTGGTTGGTGATGACGTTGGCGATGCGGACGAAGACAATAATGGATAGTAGGAGGACTAGCGAGGAGAGCGAGGGAGGAAGAGGAGGAGGAGGAGGAACAGGAGGAGAAGGATGAGGTGGAGGAGGAGGAGGATGAGCGAGGAGGAGAAAGAAGAGGAGCGATGCGCAATGAGGCGGAAGAGGAGGAGGAGGAGGAGGAGGAGGTATAGTCAAGATGGATGCTGGAAGAGGGAGAGGAGGGTTCGGGCTGGTCGCGCTGGTGACTATGATGATGGCGACGACACGGATGACGGTGTCATAATGATGATGTTGCTGATGATGATGCTGATGCTGATGCTGATGCTGCTGATGATGCTGCTGATGATGCTGATGCTGATGATGCTGATGATGACGATGAAGATGAAGATGAAGATGATGATGATGATGATGATGATGATGATGATGATGATGATGATGATGATGATGATGATGATGATGATGATGATGATGATGATGATGATGATGATGATGATGATGATGATGATGATGATGATGATGATGATGCTTCTGCTGCTGCTGATGATGAGGACGAGGCTGCTGCTGCTGATGGAGATGATGATGAGGAGGAGGAGCATAATGATGATGATGATGATGATGATGCTGATGCTGATGCTGATGCTGATGCTGATGCTGCTGCTGCTGCTGATGATGATGATGATGATGATGATGAGGATGATGAGGATGATGAGGATGATGATGATGAGGAGGAGGAGGAGGAGAAGCAGGAAGGGTTGGGGAAGAATGAGAAGGGATGATAGGTAGGAGAAGGAGAAGGAGCAAGACTATGATGATGATGAGGAGGAGGAGGAAGGAGGAGGATGAGCGAGGGAGGGGGGGTGGAGGCGGGAATGCTTTTCCACAGCAGCCTGGCCGGCCTCGTCGCCCGCGTCTGCTGCTATGCCCGCCGAGGAGGCCCGCGCGGCCGTCGAGCTGGCCGTGGGCCAGCTCGAGAGGTCCCTCGCGCGGGACCTGGAGCTGCTCCGCGAGGATCGCCGCCCGCCCGAGGAAGGACGTCGGGATTGGGGATTCGCGGGGGGGGGGGGCTGAAGATGCGCCAGATGCGCGATCCTGTAGGTGTTGCTGCTCAAGCTCGCTGGATGCGCCGTTGTATCGGGGAGCTTTTGTCCTCGCGCAGACCGGCCGCCCCTTCATTAAGAGCTGCCGCTCGATTGGCCCCGCAGGGTGGTGCCGATGGTACGAACCCTGGTCCCGGACCATTTGGCCAAAGAGGCCCACCCAGAAAATCTAAAGATCTAAAGATCTAAAGATCTAGATCACATGGGTCCACAGGGGGGGGACGGGAGGGGAGGGGGGGGGGGAGAAGGGGCAGGATGAGGAGGAGGCGGCGCAGGAGGATGAGGAGGAGAAGGAAGAGGAGGACGGCGAGCAGGAGGGAGAGGAACAGGAGGACGAGGAGGATGAGGAAGAAGAAGGGATGGCGACGAGGACGACGGCGACGACGAGGATGATGGGGACGATGAGGAGGAGGAAAAGGAAGAGAAGGAGGAGAAGGAAGAGGCGGAGAGGTGGAGGAGCATGAACAGGAGGAATATGTGGATTAGGAACGCAGTGGAGGTGGCGACGCTCCCAGAGAAGCGTCGGAGCGACGAGAACTCAAGTACACCACTCTTTGCATTCTTTTGTTCGTGTGTCTTTGCATCGTGCATTGGGTTAGGAGGTGGGGAGGAGGAGGAGAAGATGGAGGAGGCTAGAGGGCGAGGACGATGACGACACCGATGACGAACACGATCCTACGGGCCACTTGGCTTGTCCCCGGGCTACTTGCGAGCTTCGCGGGCCGACCTGACCTGGTCTGGAAATCTTCTCGTGACGTCGACCTTCGTCACTATCGCCGCCATTAGCGCCAATACCGTAACGAGTTTGGCTCAAGTCGTTGGTTTGGCTCAACTTGGTCGGTTTGCCCCCTTCGCCGCAGAAGTAGATGTCCACAGTTCGCTGTTCAGGGGTTCTCGGCGTTGCGCGTCTGTTTTCGGCCAGACACCCCGTGGCGCTGCAGGAAGTTCGCTGGCGCCGCGCCCAGGCGGCCTATTACAAAAAATCGGGCGGTCACAATTTGTTGCACGATGTGTCTGTTCAATATCGTGTCATGAATCAGCAGGGCGACGCCTCCCATGACCGTGTTCGCGGATCCGCAGCATCGTTGCTCACGAGCTGCATAATAAACGAGAAGTGCACCGACCCGCTGACTCTTCTTAGTCCCCGCAGCATCGACAAAGTCAGGGCGAAGTCCTTCGAAAGGCAGATGACCGCCGCACTGTGTGCTACCATCAATGGCCGCTCTCATTAGAAGGAGTTGTTAAAATACACTTGTCGGCAGGGGTTGGACGGGCGCGCCGTTTTGGGAAACCGCAAATGGTTTAGCAAACGCCGTAGATCCCGAACTGTCAGGCTTTCAACAGGCAGGCGTTCAACTCGAAAAACAAGCGTGAGTTAGCCACCGAACGTTTGGGGCGAATCAGGGACAACATGAATCAGGACATCACTTTCATAACGCATCCCGGCTGCGAGTGTCGCTGGACCTGGTGAAAGTTCGTGGCAAATTCCCGGGCAAGGACCCTGTTTATCTGTTGGAGCAGTCTTGCGCGAACAGGCGACGCCGTCCAGGGTGGTGCTCGCAACGCGGGGCGCTCGTTGGTCCAGGCGCTCTGGCAGGCGTCAGCGTCGCGAGCGGGATGTAGAAGCAGAGCGGGGCGGGCGGCGCGCTGCTCGGGGATGCACTGCAGCAGTGGGGCGACTCTCGCGCTGGCATGGAGGAGTTGCGCCGTCTATTCCGGGAGGACTTGCATTCTCTCCGCGCGTCGACCAGGAAGTCGCGCGGCGAGAAGCGAGCCTTGGCGGGGGAGCCATGCGAAGCTGTGGAGCACATTCTTGGCGTGTCTGATACGTGCGTGCAGTTTGCGCGCCGTGAGATTTCGCAGGCCGTCACGTTCCATTGCAATCTTTAGAGGCGGCGCTGGCGCCTGAACGAGCTGCGCGGCGACGTGGGCAACGCGGCCGGCGACGAGGGCAAGGGGCGCGACGGCGAGAGCGACGACGACGACTGAGCCCGCCAGACATAAGGCGAGCAGGCGCCCCACCAGGAAAACATGTACAATGCAAGCTTGTGCCCGCTGCTGAAATCTGTCGGGGGTGGCTAGAACCTGGTTGGGGGCAAGAGCTGTTGGATTCCGCCCCGGGGGGAACTCTGGCGATTCGGCCCGCGAGCGCGAGCGAAAGTTCTTACTCGCAGCGGTTTTTTCCAGGGCCAGAAACGTGGTAGCGGGCAAAAGCTGTCCGGTCTGGTTTGGGCGCATGCAGATGGCTTGCGCCATCCCGCCGAACCTTCAGAAGACGCGGGTGCTCGCGACAATCCTAGAAGTCGCCTGGCCGCGGCGACCGAACGGCGCCGCCGCAGAAAGAAGATGCCGACCCCAGAGAGAATCCAACAAATCGGCCCGAAACCATGAAAACGCGCTCTTGCCCGCCAAGGCTTTTCCAAGGCCAGAGACCTGGTAGTGGGCAAGAGCTTCTCGGTTTGTTTTTGAGCGAATTCAAATGGATTGCGCCATCCCGCTGACATCCCAGAAGAAGGCGGTGCTTGCGACGGTCGTGGGGTCATCTGGCGCCCCAGGGGCGCTTTCGATGAATCTGAAAGGGGCTCGCGGGGTGCCTCTCGGAAGTTTCTCGGGGGGCTCCCGGGGGCTTCTCTGGGGCCGCATTGAGGCCGTCCTGGGGGATCGCCATCGTTGCCGTTGGCGCGAAGCACCGCGTGACGCATGTCCTTCTCGTCGGTGCTAACGCGATCGCAACCGTCTTGGCTTCGCGGCAGAGTGGCCCCGCCCCGGGGCGCGCTCAGTGCGCCCTTCGGGCAGGGGGAGCGCCCGTCGCGGGCGCGGCCAGTTAGCGCGCTCCCAGAGGATGTCTTGGAACGAGCGGGGGTGCGGGAGGAGCCGAAGCCCGCGGCCAAGCCCGCGGACGACTCCTGCGCCTTCTCCAGGCGTGGTGCTCTCCCCAGGCAAGTACAAGGAGAGCATATTCCAGAAGTTCGGCCGCAGTGCGAGCGCCCTCGCGGGCCGCTTAGCGGCCGCGGTCGACGACGTGGATGGACATGGGCGACGAAGAGATGTCCTCGGACGATGAGATCTCGAAGACGCGCGCGGCCGCGCAGAAACTGGTGGCAAGGAACAACGGTCGCCTCGGGAAGAATAATGGCAAGCTGTGCGTCGTGACGACCATTGTTGACGAGATAGAGCGGGGCGGCGCTCGCGTCCGCGATCTCTTCCTGCTGCGCGCGTTGATGGCTGTCTTCGGGGGGCCGAAGAGCCCGTGGCGCGCGCGCGACGGGCGGGCGCATCGCTGCCGCAACGGAGCTTGGAGGCACGACGCCGCGATGAACGTCCAGCAGGCGCTGCGCATGGAGAGAGCAGTGGGCCTGGCGGGCGCGACCCTTCTCCACGTGAGCAAGGACAAGAACGTGAGGCGACCGTCGCGGGACGATGGGGTGGCCCCTTGACTGCGCGAGCCCTGCCGCGGCGGCGCAGGTCGAGGGGGGTGGCGACCCCGACGCGGGCTTCTCCATCGCGCGCAATATGCCGCGCGAAACGCTGGGAAGGTTTTTCGCTGCAGGGAATAATAATTTACTCAAGACCTTCTGCAAGTGGCGCGACCAGCAGGAGAGGGCGGAGCCTCGCCTGGCGTTCAGGGGCGCGCGTCTGAAGATCGAGCCTGGCAATGCAGCGGTGGAAATCAGAAAGAGCCCCGTGGTCAACTGCTACGCGCACGTGGATTTATCCATCAAGTTCAAGCCCCCCGCCGCCGACGCTGACAGGTGCGACCTCATGATGGCGACCCTCTACGGCGACGACGCGGGGCCCAAGGAGATCGAGGGCGTTGGCGAGGCGCTGGCGCCGATGCACCTGCGGCGGCCACCTCGCGTGCGAGATCGACAGGGAACGGGCCCAGCGCCCGCAATGCCATCGGCCCTTGCGACGCTGAGTTTAGCCCGCTATACCTCGACTAAGATCTTTGGGCCTCTCTGTGGATTGCGGATCTAAGTACTATGTATATATAAAACTAAAAATTGCAATGTCAATCGCCTCGCCGGTGTAGGCACACTGGCATTTTGAAGTCCTGGCCCGGGAACCTTCGAGCGGATTGCTGATCTAAATATCTTGATATCTAAATGCCAGCGCCCCGCCGATCTAGATAATTCGTCTTTTGGGCATCTGGGTCCCGCGGCCGCTGTGTGGACAGCCGATCTAAATGTCAAAATATCTAGATATCGAAATCGCAGCGCCTCGCCCCATTAGATATTCTTACAATGAGAAAATCCCAGGGCAGCTGGGTGAACTGCTGACCTGAATATTGACATATCTAAATTTCTCAACACATGCCGATTTAGATATTTAGATATTTCGATCTTTAGATATTCAAGATCCTTGGGCCGCTGGGTGGACCACCGATCTAAATATCTAAGTCTCTGAATATCTACATGCCGGCGCCTCGGCGATCTAGTTATGTAGATTTTGTGATATTTCAGATCCTCTGACCGCTGGGTGAAATACTGATCCAAACATCTAAGTACCTCAATGCCAGCGCCTCGCAGATATATATATATATATATATATATATACTTAGACATTTAGATATTTGGTCCTGTGACAGCTTGGTGAACTACCGATCTAAAGCTCTAAATGCTTAAATACCAGCGCCTCGCCGATTTAGATATTTTGATATTTAGATATTTAGATATTCAGAGTATGTGAGCGCTGGGTGAACTATCTGTCTTACTGTGTAAACAGCTGAATGCCATATTCTTGCAGATTTCGTTATTTAGATAACTAGATATTTAAATTCTAGATCATGCTGCGTATGTAGTTATTCAGGTAATTAGATATTTAGGAATTTGGATAATTCGATTGTTAGATCGGTAGGCAACCTTCGGATCTAGTGATCTTGGACGTTTGCGAGAGCATGGGGCCTGGTAGTGGACGGAAGCTTTGTGTCTGCGTTGGCCAGGTGGGAGGCCGCGGCGACCAAGCAGCACTGCCGGGGAAACTACATATCACCCCCAGGGAAAACCAACGATCTGCCCCACAAGCAAAGAAACGCGCTCTTGCCCACTAAAGCGAAGTAGGGGCCAGAAGCCTTGTAGTAGGAAGAGCTCTTCGGCTTTGTTTTGGCGTGATGTGCGGGCCAGCAGATCTTGGGACTTCTAGAGCAATCTAGTATCTGCAGAGGTTCGGGTCGCCTGTTCTGCGTCTTTCTAGTTGTGCAGGCAGTGCGCGTGTAGGCTCGTATTACTGTTCCCCTAGGTGGCAGCGGGAAGTCGCTGCGGCCGAAGTTGACTGTGGCTACGCTCGGTGAGGCGATGGCCAAGTTCGCCTGCGCCTACCTCCTGACCAGAGACAGGGAATTCCAAGTTTCCGCTAAGCGTCTCGTCGGCGCCATCGCCGCGATCTTCCAGGAAGCGCAGCAGGGCGATACTATCCAGGAAATCGTTGCCAAGAACTTGTTCGCCATGGCAGAACTGCTCGTTCGTTGGAACCATGGGAAAGCCGAGGACAGCGCTACCACGCATGGGCATTCACGGATTTTGTCATCGAGTTGAACCATGCGTTCCGCATTGAATGCGATGGTGATGCCGTTCACGCCTTGCGGCGCCGTCTGCTGCTGATCGCATTCGAAGGCGATCTCGCTCGAAACGCCGCCTTGGTATCGGTTGAGCGCGGCCTCTTCCTGGCTGACCCCGAGTAGGAGGAACGGGCCTCCTCGGGGGTGGCGGGCTTCGTCCACGTGTCCCGAGGCATCCTACCGATCATTGAGAAGCAGTCGGCGACCCAGGCCTACGACAGGTTGGACAATACCTCTCCTGCACGCGCACCGATGAGATAATCATTTCTGAGTGGCATCAGATCGGCGGACGGCCGCGTCGCAGCTGTCGCGCAAGGTTCGCCGCGTGACCGCAGCGCCCAGGCGAGCGCCGCCTCGGAGCCCTTCCGTCAAGCATCCGCGCTTCTCGCCATCATCCAGCTCGGCAAGGATGCCAACGCGTCGGACAGCGCGCAGTGGCGCGCGAGGGCTGGGTCTTGCCTCAAAGGTGGGTGGCGGTCAGATAAGAAAGGAGCCTGCGGCCTCGTGCAGGACCCGGCAACGTGGAAACCCGCGGCGCGGTTGTGGGGCCGCAAAGTCCCTTTTCACTTTCCAGCCCCCTGCGCCGGCGCCGGCCTCGGCGCGCTGTTCCCCGACGTCAACCACCTCGCGATCCCCGCCGAGACCGCGTTCCCCGAGAAGCTCGATCTGAACCGCCTGAAGCTCTACGCGATATGCCCCGAGAGGCGGCGTAATGATCATGCGCTGATCAAGCGTCTCCAGGCAGCGCAAGCAGGGGGGGCGGGCATCGAGCAGACGAGAGGTCGACCTACGCCAGCCGCCGCGGAAGCGCTCGAGGCGCGGTTTCGACACGAGGAGTCGCTCCAGTCGACGGAGGCGGCGGCGAACAAATTGCTGGGGGAGCATCGCGGCGCCGAGCGGGCCTTCCAGGTCAAGTATTACTTCTCGGCCGTCGGGGGCGCGCGCGCAGGAGGAGGCGCGCGGAGGGCTCGGCGTCCCAGCACATGAGCAAGCATATCCAGACGATTACGCAGCCAGATGTCGTGAAGTTGGATTGGCGCAAATGTTTCTTGACTCTGGCGCCCCAGGTCATGAAGCGCCTTAATATCAAGTTGAACGATGACCCGTCGGAGCAAGGGCGCGCCATCGAGGCCGTCGCCGCATGGCCTGACATCGATGCCGAGAAGACCGTAGCGCTGAGCGTCCGGTTCGGCAAGAATCACGCACGCGACCAGTTCAAGGACATGAAGCGCGACTCGAGAGTGATCCGCTGGGCGTCATCGTCTGCCTTGCATGACGTTTTCGATGCGGCAGTTGAGCACGGGAGAGACAGCCCTGAGCTCACCTGCGTGCGTGTCGAGACTCCTCGTAGGAGCGGGGGGCGCTTGCACCGAGGCGCTGGTGGAGTTCGTGCTGGAGAAGCGTGGGTTCGCCGTGCCCCACCTTGCTTGGGAGTTCGACGGCGTCGGAGTGAACTCCAGCGTGCTCGAGGACTCGCGCGCCTTTTTCACGGATGCGGAGGGCTACGTCTACAAGACGAAGGGTTGCATGATGCACTTCGCTGCGAAGAAGGAACGCTCGTTGCTCCGGGCGCTCGAGGCATGCAGGCAGCAGCTGCCCATCGACGACGAGCCTGGGGATGACGACCAGCTGGGGCCGCACTTCACTTCGGGAAATTACATCCCGACCGCAATTGTCACATCCTGTGGGCGCGGCAAGCCGCCTATTCCAGTCCCAGAGCGAAAGGCTCGCTCCTATCGCGAGGTCGCTGCGCACTTCGAAATCAGTCACCAAGGCGCCTGTGTCATGGACGTGTGCAGCGATCTCGCATCTGGCCGCACATTGCATCCTGGTGACTACCTCTTGCACAGCGAGCCTGGCGGGGAGGCCCATTGCGCGCTGCTCCGCGCGTCGGCGGCGGCTCAGGGGGAGAACGGACCAGAACAGACGTTCGATGTGATTGGCGCTCAGCGTGGCCCAGAAGATGGTCGGTGCAGGTGCAGGGTTAGCTCGGTCGATTTCTGAAGGGCGATTGGTGGCGCCGCCGACGAGCGCCTGGCCGCGGTCTTCCGCAACTGCGGCAACATGAGCCGCTCCGCGGATGCTAGGATGGGCGTGGAAGCCGGCGCTTCTGCAAGTTCGCTGGCTGAAGCTCAGCTGCATCTCACCTCCGCAGATCCATCTGGGGTCGACTTGGCCTCGTTGTCCGAGCGCGAGGAGGGCGTCGACGAGTCCGACGAGCCCACGTTTCTGGAGATGCTCTGCAGCATTCTGGGCAAGGAGGCCGCGACTACCAGGCCGAGGTCGGTGCCTGTCGATCTCGCACTCGCTGCCGCTGTGCCTTGTGCCCGTGGCGATCGCTCAGCCGCCGCGGGCATCTCATCGAGCGCCAGAAGCACCACAGGCCGCCGAAGTTCATCGCGTCTCGTCAGGACGATGCTCTCTTCAATGTCGCCGCGTCACTGTACAGGTTCGACCGTGTCTGCTCGGTCGTTAATCGGGCGGCGCAGAAAGACGGCGGCTACCTGGCCCGCGCTGCCGATCTGCTTCGAGCGTGGAATCGCGACGCTCCTGCGGATGCGCTGGAGGCTGCGCGCCGCTCCAAAGAAGCCCACCTCGTGTTCGTGTTAACAGAGGCGGGCCCGCGCGCTACTGGGTGCGCGCCAAGTGCGCTGACTGCATTCGCATTGCCCCCTAGGTCTCGTGCGCCAGAGGCTTCGAGGACTCGCTGGTTAGCCTCGCTTTGGTCTCGCGCGGAGCGATGGGCGGCGTGCTGGGCCATCTCCACGCGCAGTGGTCCCGCGACGGGGCGTCGCCTTTCTTGGCCTGCCGCCCGCGCCTCTTGCGTGAGATTATGGACCGCGTGTTTCGCCGCCCCGACGGCCTGGCTCAGCATGCGGTGCGACGGCTCGTGGGGGAGGAGGTCATTCAGGGCGAATTCACGGCGCTCACCCACGACGGTGCCTTCAAGTTTCTGTTCTCCGTCATTGGCCAGAAGAAAATGGACCTGGAAAAGGGCGGGGCCATGTCGGTCACGCGCTGATGGGAATGGCGCGAGCTTGCCCTGGATTCAGCGTCCAGCCTGACGAGAGCATGGAGAGCTCCGGCGCAGCGCCGCCGCAATCGAGCACGTTCGGATGCTCTACTCCGACGCCCCGAGTGAGAACATGCTGGAGCATTTGCCGAGGTGTCTCGGCGTGGCGCAAGACAGGCGGTCCATTGCCTTACGGGCCGAGCAGTGCACGGACGGCATTGGGGCGGCTTGTTCATTCGAGCTGCTGCAGCTCACCAGGAAATCCCCCCGTCCTCTCGACGTGTCTGGGGAGAGCTTGGCGAGGGAGATCTACCGCGGTTCCCCGATGGGTGAGGTGGCTTGGGGTGACGCGCAGCCCGTGTCCGAGCGCGTCGGCAACGGCTGGGCGGATATCTGCAATCATCCGTTCACTTCGCGCGCGGAGTACGTGGCCGAGCTGAAGCGCATTGCCCCGAAGCGCGAGAATATGATGGAGAAGAAGAATGCCAAGGGGGCTACGCTCCGCAAGGTCCTGATGAACGCAAGCTCTACGCATAATTAGTATTGCTTGCGCAACAACTCGGTGTTCGCCCAGCTCTCTCGCGGGCAGCTGATCGCCCGGGGCACGCCGCAGAACGAGGCCGAGCACGGGAATCTGAAGCGCTGGGCGTGGTGCGTCTGGCAGCAGCGCGAAGATCGCGTTCGCGTGCTGAAGGAGGTATACGCCCTCCACCGCTTGCTCGTCCATGCCGCCCAGCGCGAGCAGCTCGGCGCGCGGCTTCCACCCTGGCGGCTCGCGCAGGTCTTGGCAGGCCAGATCGTTGCCGGCGGTTTCAGGGGTAATTCCGGGAGAAGCGAGGCGCCGCCTGCTCGAGAGGATGGCCCAGGAGGTTCGGTGCCCAGCGGAGGAGGCCCGAAGCGCCGTGCACTCAAGAAGTCCGTTGTCAAGATGGGCGCCGAGTTGGCTGCGACACAGAAGGGCGGGAAGAAGAAGAAGCGGGGTGCCTCGTAGAGCAAGGCCGCGCCTTCAAAGAAGAAGAAACAACCGTGGGTGGCACAAAAAGAGAGCAGCGCTATCGAGGAAGTCCACGCCCTCGACGGTGCGCGCCGTGGTCGAGGAGGTTGCAGGCTGCAGGTTGCGGGCCATTTGGCCTGGTCTGGTCTAGGGTCAGGCTTGCACTCCCCATTCTTCGCTGCGCAGCCGGACGACTGTATGAGCTGGGCTGATAAACGTGAAATCTTCGACCATCAACATCCCCTTCCTCGTTGATACTACCGCAAGCCATGCCATAAACCAGATCCGCGACAATTGCTGTTGTTCGGATGCGTATACGAGAATGCCAGACTTCACGTACATACCTAGATCTGCAGATCTGGATCTGTTTAGGTTGCCGCAGAGCGATCCTCCCAACGCGCCCGAAACAGCTCTTGCCCACTAAGGCGTTCCCAGGGCCAGAAACCTGGTAGTGGGCAAGAGGATTCTTCTCTGGTTCCGAGCCGACTTCCGACCTTCTTTGGATCTTGAGATCTTTAGATCTTTAGGTTTTCTGGGTGGGCATTTTTGGCCGAATGGTTTGGGATCCGGCCTTTCACGGGTGCCGACGTGGGCGCGGCGGCCAGCGCCGCGCCCGCCCTCTGTGGCTGCGCGGGCGAGGCAGAGCTGCAGGAACAGGCGACCGCTCAGTCTCGAACGACGCCCGGGTAAACGCGCGTGGAGAATGTCGGGTGGGAGGCCAGCGTTGCCAGGAAATCAGTATGAAGGATGGGCCACCGTCGTTCGACGCTGTTGTACGTATGAGTGCCGCGCAGCTCCGTCTCGGTCCGTCCGCCGTGTCCCGTGGCGTCGCACTCGCTGCGCCAATCTGCAGGCTGGACGACGAGCCTTCGTGTCGCTTGTTTGGCACATGGTCCTTGGAAAAATACGTTTCTTTTATATCAACGCATGTGCACCGCAGAATGTTTTGCAGGAGACAATCGGCGGTGTGTATATACAGGTGTGTGTCGACTGGCCTGGCTGGTATGCTTTTGTATGATTTTTAGGATGAGCGATCGTGCTCAGTTAGCATGGGAAGCAGACAGCACGCGCAGGGGAACTGTCAAGTCTGGCCTCGGCAGGAAAATGAGTCCATGTTGCGCTATCTATGTGTCGCACCCTAGGTCGTGCAATCTGTGGGTTGCAAGCTTTGTAGCGAATTGTTGCATACATTTGGAGTCGCCCGCTCCAATGCTCGAGTCATAATCCCGCCCACGCACCCGCGCAGTCGTGGCACAATGCAACAGGCGTAGTGACACGAGGACCCTTATCGTGCAGGTCCATAGTTGGGGCGGGCGTGTGATGATGGCGACAACGACATCGGCGATGGTGACGACGATGATGGTGATGGTGGTGGTGGTGGTGATGACGATGGCGACGAACACGGCGATGCCGATACTGATGATGAGAATGATGACGATGGTGCTGATGATGTTGGTGATGATGGCGGTGATGATGTTGATGATAGCGACGGGTGTGATGATGATGGCGGCGTTGGTGATTGTAGTGATGACGATTGCAATGATGACGCTGTCGATGATGGTGGGGATCCTGTTGGTGCTGCTGGTGATGATGATTCGGAAGAGGAGGAGGGAATGCGCGTACGCAGAAGATTTGTCACATGTGTTAGGGACGGCCGACTGGTTTTCACATGTTGCTGAACATCTGTGCCTTGAAAATGCGCGCTCGGGGTCGCGTGTGGCTGGCATTGGATTATTTGACAGCGTGTGCCCGGCGAACGATGGTTTCTCAAATATTGCGATGCTCGCGCGTGTGTGGCCTGCTTGTTGTGGTCTGGCTTGGCAGCAGGAGGGCCTTCTGAGGGACATGAGGCCCCCTTAGAGGGCCGCCACTCGACGTGCTGTCTGTCTGCATCGCTAAGCTGGCGGTCGGGCCTGGCGCATTCGTGAAGTGGTCGGGGGTTTGATCGCCCGCGCTGGCGGCCAGGAGCTAACATCGCGTAGCTTTCGGGACACATATATATATTCGAACGCATTCTGTATCGCCCTTTCTCCCCTGCAGGGCCAACGTCTCATGAGAAAAGTCCACCACATTACGCACAGTGTGTTGGACTTGCCATGTTGTCGAACGACTGACCCGCACGATCCTTGGGAGGAAACTTGCCGAAAGCTGGACGTGATGGAGAGGCGCGTGGCCGAGGACTCGCTGCTTCTGAAGCGCGTGGCCGAGGAAGCTCAGCGCGTGCACAAGGAAGCACTGCTTTTGGTTCCTCTTCCTGCTCCTGCTCCTGCTCCTGATGGGCGCCGTCGTCCTCTTCCTCCTCCTCCTCGTTTTGTTCCACCTCCTCCAGCTCCTGATGGTCCTGCTCCTGCCCCTCGGTTTAGACTGCCTCAAGGGAGGAAAAAACACCCGGACCAGACAATTGGCGTTTCCTGAACGGCCATGGGCGTTTACTAAGCAGTCCGGCCCTGTTCGACTCCTTCTGTGGACGCGTCTATTAAACGACTTCGCGTGTCGGGGTGGTCATCATAGGGGGTGGATTGTTCGACTCCTGTTTTCTACACTTCCGCAGTCAAGACGTTGCAATAAGGATCGCTCTGGGTTCAGGAGGGGCTTTCGCTTTTGGGCTTGCCTCTCCGCTTACGGCAGCTTCGTGTCGTGTCGACTGGCGGCGACCCCGTCAGCGGCGTTCAACGTTGAACGCCGCCGGCGATCCAGAATCGTTCGATGTGGAACGATCAGGACGTTTCGGAAACGGCCGATCGTTCAAGGTTGAACGATCCCCGCGGTGTCAGAAGCCAACGCCGGAGTCGGCACGACACGAAGCTGGCGTGCACTGCCTCGCCCCCTCTCCTACAGAGGACATTTTCGATGGGGCCCCTGCTTTAGTCCGCCTCCGCAGGCGCCGCATCCGGCACGCCGTCCAGCATTCCAACAATTCCTCCCCGGGCCCCGATGGCATAAGTTCCCTCGCTTGGAGACGCTGCGTCAAGCTCTCCACCAGGGTTCTCCTTGACGCGGTGCGCGCGCTGATGGGCGACTCCGGCTGCGCGGCCCTCGACGAGGAGTGGCCAGACTTCAATGCGAGCCTGCTGTTCCTTAATCAGCGAGCAAAGAACGGTATAAAATAATCTTTTTCGCCGTCGGGGACACCTGCCCCTGGGCGGCTGAAAAGTTTATATCCCTACGGTGCCACCGTAAGGGTATAAACTTTCCAGCCCCCCAGGGACAGGCGCCCCGACAGCGAAAAAGTTTATTTTAAACCGTTCTTCGCCCGTTAACTTGAGGCTTCTGGCGCCGCGACCACGGGCGAGGGGGCTGCCTCGCAGCGGAGAACACGAGGCCAGACCGCTCCGGGCTCCGGAGGGGCTCTGGCTCTCGGGCCGCTCCCTGAGACCTCGGTTTGAGGCCAGGCCTGTCCCCCTACAGGAGAGACATTCCAAAATAGTCCAAAAGTAGTCAGGAGACGATTTTTTCCAGTAGTCCAGAATAGTCCAAAATAAGCCAAAAGCAGTCAGTAGTCCAACAATTTTCTGACACTGTTTTAACTATCTTTGGGGTGCTTGCAACCTCTCGTCGAGATGCGGCCTGTCGGGGGACACGCCCGACCGAAGCCCGGGTCGGGGAGCCCGTACGTGGCCGGGGCGCGCCGAGGCCCCACGAGACATCTCCGCTCCTTAGTAAAGTTCTCCGCGCTCTCCTGCGAGGAGCACGCTGGCCGCACCCTTTCCGCCCTCCGTCGTCCCTCCCGTCGGGCGGCGGAGAGAGCTGTGCACGTGCACCGGTCCTGGCCGGGGCGCGCCGAGGCCCCACGAGACATCTCCGCTCCTTACTGGGTTCACCGCGCTCTCCTGCGAGGAGCACGCTGACCGCACCCCTTTCCGCCCTCCGTCGTCCCTCCCGTCGGCCGGCGGTGGAGAGAGCTGCGCACGTGCACCGGTCCTGGCCAGGCCCAGCCTCGGCCCCAGGATCGGTGCATGTGCCTTCCTGGCCAAGGCAGGAGGGCGTATGCACCGATCTTGGGCTCAGGATGGACCTGGCCAAAGTCGGTGTGTATGTGTGTGCATGGTTCTTTTTCCTCTATCCTGGTACTTTGCTCCCATCGTACTCGAGGACCACGTCCCTGAAATAATGTCGAGCACCCAGAAGCGTATCGGAAGGGTGTCGAAGGAGTATCGCCTCCCAGGGCCCGACACGTGAGCTCCCCCAGTTTCGGCACCTCCTGGTGCTCGAACATCTCTCTGGTGACCGAGGCTGAAGTAGGCTGGAGCATCATCACCCTCCTGCTTTGCCTTCTCCGCGTCCTCTTCTTCGTCCTCCTCCTCCGCCTCCTCTTCCCCCACTCATGCCCTTGCTCTTGTGGTAAATGTGAAAGGCAAGGACAGTGGCCTCAACAGCCTGGAGCCTCGAGATCTCACAGTCTTCCGAGATCCACCCCACTCCCATCATGATTACAATTCCGCTTCGCGGGTCGCCGCTGCAGCCAGGCTCGCCCTTCGGGCCTAGTTGACGGGGACTCGCCGTCTGGGTACGTTCGCTCCTCTTCCCCCTCTCGCCATCCCCTCTGCTGGCCCCTCTCGCGTCAAGCTTCGCTGGCCCTGGGCGCTGCTCGCGCGCCCGCCTCCTCCTCTACCTCCTCCTCCTCCTCCTCCTCCTTCTCCTCCTCCTCCTCTACCTCCTCCTCCTCCGCCTCATCTTTCTCTTCTTCCCCCTCCTCCTCCTCCTCCGCCTCCTCCTCCACCTTGTGCTCCTCCTCCCCCTCGTCTTGCTCGCCCTCCTCCTTCTCCCACCTTCTCCGCCTTCCCCCCGTCCGCTCATGCTCCTCTTGCTACTGCTGTTGCTGTTTTTTTTCCATCCTCGTCCTTGTCCTTACCTTCGTCCTTCGCCGCATCCTCATCCTCAGCTTGCAGTTCTTCTGCTGCCCTCTGCTATCCTCCTGCCCTCGCTCCCGCACCTGTGGCTGCTGCTGTTGCTGCTGCTGCTGCTGCTGCTGCTGTATGTATTCCCGTCTCTTCCCGCTCGGAGGAGCCCCCAGAGCTCGCGGGCGCGGGCCCCGCTGCCCCGTCGAAGGCAGCCGCCTCCAGAGAGGGAGACAGGGAGGTACGAGGAGGAGGAACTGGAGCATGAACGGTTACAGGCTATTTCACCCAGTCGTCCCTGAGGAGGAGGAGGCGGAGGAGGATGAGGAGCAGGAGAAGGAGGAGGAGGAGGAGGAGGAGGAGGAGGAGCAGGAGGAGGAGGAGGAGGAGGAGTAGGAGGAGGAGGATTACTAGGATTACCGCCTAGACAGATGTCAATACTACCGCCATTCCCCAGTTATATTTTGGGGAATAATTCACGTGATATTCTGTCGAGATATTCCCGACGAGCTTTCGTCACAGACATCCGCTTGCAGGGCTCTCCAAGACCACGAATTTGGGACTGACTGAAAAGGCCACACACTGCGCAATACCATATCTCTAACGTCACGTGATAAAACAAACAAAAAACAACAACATGCTATGAGAGAGGTGGGCCCAACTGCCAGCTATATGGATGTGTTGTTCCCTCGGGGGAGCCTGGAAATTCTACAATTCACGTTTTCCAAGGGCGAACATTCCGTTCTAAGCCAGCTACGAACACACGCGACAGGCGCACTACCCCTACACTAGAGTGTGTGCAGTCGCAAAGCGTGCGACAGCTATAGGTACAGGACGTGGGAGAGGATGAGGAGGGGTAGGGGCCTCATGAGCCCCTGCCAGGAGCCTCACTCTCTTGGCCTCTCGCTTCTGCTCGGTCTCGTGGCGAATCACCAGCAGGGCGGCGCGGAGGATGCGCCTCCGAACGAGGTGTGCATCCCTCTCGACCTCGGCGACTCGGGCGCGATGTACCTCTGGGAGCCTGCACCTGGTCGCCGCCGCCGCCGCCAGCTCATCAACCACCTCGTTGCCTTGAACCAGCCAACTCGCAACTCCTCGCGCCAGGTACTCAATTGGGGTCAGGTGCGATGAGACCTGCAGCACGATGACATTTGCTTCTGATCGAGACTGCTGGACTAAGGTGTTCTGGATGGATCTCCAGAGGTCTGTATTGTGGCCCGCGGGCCGCGAGAACAGACCATGCCACCAGCCTCGACATACTTCATCATTATCTGTCACATACATCAAAACTCCATGAGAATACTCAGTTGCCGACAACAGGCACTGCAGCTCGCCCCGTGGGACCGTCTGCTGGCTCTGAGATCCCCAGAGCGGCCCTAGCATAAAAGGGCCCACCTGCACCAGTGAGAAGTCGATCATCGAAGCGATTCCAAGCCCCACTCGTCGGAGCCGTCCATCACGCGAGTCAGCTCCTCCCGAGGCGTCTCCGAAAACCACCAGCGGAGCCTCTCGCGTGCCAGAGCCCGGGCAGCCTGGCGCAAGAGGTGTTGACATGTTCCCAACTTCACACTGTGGCTCGCTGACGTGCTCGGGCACCTGTGTTCGGCACGAAGGGATAAGACCCCTAGTCCAGAAACATGTGATGCTGTCCCGCTCCGCCCAAGCCCGTGAAATTATGCACTCTGTGTCGGTGAAAGCCTTGCCGTTGTCGTTGCAAGAGCAGGCCCACGTGCGATGAAACGCAGTCTCCGCCGTCTCACGGCACCGTGGACAAAGGTCAGACTCAACACCTGCAATACCTGCTTCAAACTTGCGTGCTTGTGTCCATGAGCCGTCTGCTGCGATGGAGGTCATGAGCTCCACCAGCTGCCGACCCTTGTACGCATGAGGCAGGGATGCCAAGAATTGCCGATAACTCTGAAGATCCACGCTTCCCGCCATACCCGCGCCACAAACATGACCAGCTGCTTCGCGCCATTGCCGTGCCGCCAGCGACTCCTCGAACTCATCCAGGAGGGCACGACTTGGTCATGACCTGTGATGGCAGCTGAGGAAACATTCCAAGCGTGTCGGTCACAAGCGCAATCATTCGTCGTGTCCCACTCGACAGCGGAGGTCGGAAGCCAACCTGCTGGCAGCAAGCACGCGATGCTGGTCGAAATCGGACCTCGGATATGGCGGGATCGACGAGCCTCTGGCAGAGCTGCCAGCGTCTTGACCGTGCTGGCCCAAGCCCGCTCGATGCCCGCCTGGAGGCGCGGCACAGTTCGCCAAGCCTGCAACCACGGAGCCACCGCCTGCCGCGGCAGCACCAGCCCAGGATCTGACCCGGGCAGGCGCAGAGCGAGGAGAGCAGTCGTGCCTCTCCCCCTCCTCGCCGAGCTCGCCGCCGCAGCCAACCTGCGCCTCTGCAAGACCGTGGCAGACCCAGAGCATCCGTAGACCTGGTGGCCGTACACGGCCGAGGCCCGAGGGCCAGCTCCTTGTACCTTTGCCGTCGTTGCGTGTCGACAATGATGCTCGAGCGTACCGCCTGAGCTTGCCATGCTGCCCCTTGGATTTCACGACCCGCTTCCTGGCTGTGTCTCGAGCATGACGGCAGCCTGCCCCCAGGTCCACGCCCAAGTAGGCAAGCTGCAAACTCCCTTGATTCTGAATACCCTTGCGCTTCAGCTGCTGCACGACGAACTCGGCATCAGCATGGTGAGCGTAAGAGGCTACCGACTTCGGTGACATGGCTAGGCCCTGCATCTTCAGAAACTTCGAAACACTGACAATGCCCTTGACAAGCTGCGTGCGCACGTGCTTACGAGAACCTGCCGTTCGCTTGGACAACTCGTCGATCCATAACCTCTGAGATAAGGTAGGATGGGCCGTGCAAAGCCGTTGAAAAACCCAATAACTCATACATCGCGCGAAACGAGTCCCGCTCCTGAGGCCTTGAACCACAGACCTCGTCGGCTGAAAAAGTAGCGAATATGCCAATAGCTACGCAATCACCCGAGGACTGAGGCATATCTGCAATTCAAGGGACAAAATTGCGGGGGGGAGCTTCATACGTAATGCCGCGCGCGCTAACTCAGGCCATTCAATACTGTCGTAAAAGGCCTGCACAGCAACGAGCCCATGCCCATGAGGAACCTGAAGACGCATGTACAGCTCCTCCTCGAGGGCACGACCATGCGCCTCACGAAGGGCGCTGTTCCGTGCCACTGCCGCGTCCCACATCGGCTCATCGTCCAAAGCCCGGTGCCGAACCTGCCCTTCTCGCGCCATGCTCCACAACCGACAGAACATCGCGATGAGGCCGATGACTCGATCGCCACCTGACTTCTTGCCCAGGAGGCGACCAAGTGCAGTGAGAATCTGTCATGGCCACGAAAGACTAAGACCATCTTCAACTAACCGACGTAATTCATATAACTCTGCCACTGCACAGTCTGGCAATCTGTCGAAGTCCTGCGGCGACATCTGATCGATGCCGAGCCCCGCTTTGGGCCTCATGGCCGCCGTTGCCTGGCGTAAGTCTGAAACTGTTAGTGACTCCAGTTGCTCCACTCGCGCATGCTCTCGAATGGGTTCACATACATCTATGATTTCTTGAAAAGAAAAGCGACCATGACTTCAAAGATCCCTCCACTTCGAAACTTTGTGATCAATCACGTCAGTTGGATGAGCAAGAATCTCTGAGCGTCCGTCGACCTGACAATGCAATTCCTCAATCAAGGGTATGTGCTCCTTGATGCTCTTGTGTATAGCACCAATGGAAGCAACAGAAACAATCCTCTCCTGAAAATCACGAAGTGAGGAAGACGCCGCACGAGCCAAGGACCGCTTGGCCCCCTTGAACGCCCACTCCTCCAGCACCTTAAGCCTGTCCAGCGAGGTGCCGCGCAGACTCATGAGCTCCCTCTCGGCAGAAGGCCACGAGCCCGCGCTGGAGGTGAACTGGGCGACGTCGTCGGAAGCCACCTCCAGCTTCCGACGACGCGCTTCACACAAGTGTTCGATCTCTACTGCACCGTTGCCACGAGACCGATGACGGCGCACCTTCTGAACGACGGTGTGGAGACTCCCCCGCCTGGTCGCCGCTCGATCAGCCACCGGTTGATCCCGAACATGGGCGGCCTGCTTGGCGGGGACCACCTGCAAGTCAAAGCCCTGCGCGCGTGATGTACGAGCGGCCTCCTGCCCATGATGTGCAGCGACCGTGCCTTCGACAGACCGTGCCCACGTGGCGTGCCGAGAACTGACGTGTAATATGTATTCACGCCCAGCAGCAAACGCAAAATTATCGCGGATCGCTGGCCAGACATGCTGGAGAGTGTGGGGCTTCCACGGGGTTTGAGCCGAGACTACTAATCGCGTTGCAGCGGAGATGGAGTACGAGGGAGCAGCGGCAGCTCAGCAGTGGAGCTCGGAAAGCTCTCGCCGACCCCGTCGACGTGGGACCCCTGGGAACATCCGCTGGCTGGAACCTCACCACCCCCCGGTGAGACATTACTGCTCCTGACGGAAGCCTGGTTGGTATTAATTGTGTCGGCCTGCATGCTCTCAAGCCCACCTTCAGACGCCTGGGGCGGGTGACCAGAGGCCCGAGAGTGTGAGCGAGGAGGCACGACAGGAACGGAACTCGACTCATCAGCCCAAGGATCTTCTTCCTCTTCGAGCTCAAAACTGAAAAACACGTCTAAAGGCCCAGAATCCTCCCTCGCCGCCTGGTGCGGATCGAGGCCCTGGACTCCCGAACCATCCCCCGACGGATCTTCACCGCCCCCAGAAGCCTGGACCGAGGGCTCGGGCTGAAGGAGATCAGGAAACAGTTCAGCGCACGCCGCCCTGGTCTTTCCACTCGCCACCTCCTGACGAACAAGCCGGTCCTGCTTAGCACGACTGGATTTGGGGCCTGCAGTGGGCCCCACGAGAAGCCCACTCGACTGCGGAAGACGGGGCGCCAGGACATGGGGACGAGTCATGAATTGCAAGCCTGATTGACGGAACCAAATCGAAAGCCTGCAGTGGGGCTTCAGGGGGCGGCCTCAACCGCCTCCACAGATTTTATGTAAGGCAGACGCGCTGGGCTGGCAACTGTATAATCGATGTGCGACTGCCCTTTGCTACTAAAACACGCGTGAGCGACGCTAGCCTCATTGCATGCCCCCCGATCTTCTGCAGGTAGCTCGACTTCAGCATTAAACCAACGTCAATGTT